TGAGCACCCAGTGTGAAGTTGATATAAAAGACATAATAAAATTTTAATAATTTTCAAACAGTTCATAGAACTAACAAGTCATTCAATCATATAGGAATGAAACAATTACGCTAAATATGTAAGTTTTCATTGTTAATGTGCAAGCTCAGCTGTGTATACACTTGTCTGTTTCTATCCACAGAGGCCACCCATCTAGATGACAGCTTGAAGTAAGCACATTTAAACAAGTGAGAGATAAGCATTATTATTATTCTCTTATGAATATGCATGCCTTATGTTTATGTTATTATCTACATGGATTATATAAGATTCATGTAAGTGAAAACATCATAATTGTTGAAAGCCATTTCAATAGAAATCCTAACTAGAAAACTATGACTTTTCTATTTTCTCAATTTTCCTACTTTCTTAATAGCAAAAACAAAAAAACTTACTAAAAATTGGGCTTATTTAGTAGTATTTTTCAAAGTCTGAATTTGGAGAGCTACTATTTCAAGATAAAAGTGATGTTTACATGTACAGTTAAGATGATCACTGTTGAGGTAAGTTAGCAAGATGGTGAGACAGGACTTTCTGATGTTTTCCCTCCCATGGAAATATCAGATTGAACAATTATCTGCCCTAGAAATAACTTCACCAGGCCTAAGAACACCAGATGAAGCTACAGGTAAGATACAATAACGAGGTTAAGAAACAAAATCATAAATAATATGCTACACACATCACTGTCTCTCCAAAACCAGGCAATGCAACTTAGAAGCAGATGCCCTCTGCTTAGAGACAGGATAGGGAATGAGCCCACAGACACAAATGCTAGACATGCCCTAGGGAAATCAGTGTGAGGACAACATGAGCTCCCATTGCCTCAGGCTCTAGTTGAGTTTCGAGGACTGCACAGACCTAGTTTGATCCAATAGCCCAAGGTTCAATAATTTCCCCACAACTCAGTCTATTTTCCACCCCATACTATACTAGTCTCAGAACCTTAGAGTATAAACTCCCCCCAATACCAGCTCAGAGACAAAGAATGGTCTAAGTCCCTATAATGTCTTGGCCTTTAGGCCTATTCAGCACCAGGCCAGCCTCCGTGTCCCCAGAAGGAGTTGTAAAGGGAGAGGAAGGGGTGGAAATGATTTAAATACAATGTACCCATGTATGGAATTCTCAAAAAATTAAATTATAAAGGGAAAACAATCATATTAATAATAACTACAAAATAATAAAATACTAAGCAACAAATTTAACCAAGATGAATTACATATACTTTTAAATCTATAAAGTCTAAAAAATTAGTGAAAGAAATTGGCAAAACCACAAATAAATGAAAAGATATCTCATATTCATGGGCTAGAAGAATAAATAATGTTAAAATGCTTGCAGTACTCAAAGAAACCTAATGCAATGCCTATAAAAATTTCAATGACTATTTTTTTCAGAGAAACAAAAAATTCTAAAATCTGTATGGAAGTTCATAGCATTTCAAATAGCTGAAGTAATCTAGAGCAAAGAAAAATGCGGCTCTATCCCTCACAGTACCTGGCTTCTAAGAAGCTACAAAGATATATATCTCTGTATAGATATATAGATATAGACATGCATATGTATATGTATATATAGCATTTAATATATACATACATATGAAAATTACATGAATATATGAATATATGTCTATTAAAATATGTCTATTAGTAGAATAGCATATAGACTAGGGGAACAGAATCAGATTCCAGAAATAAAAGTATTCATCAAGAGTCAGTTGATTTTCAACAAAGGTGCCAAGAATATATAATGGAGAGAAACTAAAACTCCCCAGTAACCAGTGGTAGGAAAACTGGATAGTCACACTCAGAAGAATGAAAATAGACCATTAACTCACACGTCCAAAAGTCAACTCAAAATTGATTACTTAACTAGATAGCCTGAAACCATAAAAATTTTTAGAAGGAAACAGAACAAAAGGTCTTATGCTAAACTTGACAAAGCCTATTTTCAAATAGAAAAACTAACATCATACTTAATTTTATTACAAATGTGGATTCCAAAAAGAAAAAAAAGAAAAAAAAAACCCACAGGAAAATTGATGAATTGACAAATCAGACTATATCAAACTAAAATGCTTCTACTCATCAAGAGAAGCAATTAGCCAAGTAAGAAGGCAAGTGCAAAGTGTGTAAACGTATTTACCAACCATTCACCTACAAGAGGGCAATGTCAAGAATATGTAAAAAAAAACCTCAAGCATAAAATACATATAGCCCACTTAAAATGGGCAGCACATCATTTAATAGGTATATCTTAAAAGGCTTTTGGCCAAGAGACACGTGAAAAATGATCAATGATACTAATTGTCCAAGAATTGCAAATTCAATCTACAGTGAGTTGTGAACTCACCTATGTTAAAGATCACCACTATCAAGACAAGAGATAACAATGTTTGGCACAGATTTGGAGAAAAGGGAATCCTTACATTCTATTGTTGGGAATGTAACTTAGTTTAAGCTGTTACAGATATGACAGACAGTTCTCCCAAAGAATTAAGAGAAAGAATGTAAGAAAATAAAAACAGTGTGTCATGGCCTGTATGTATTTCCCTACATAACAGCATCATTCATAACAGCCATTACATAGTGTCATGCTAAATGTCAGTCACAGATGAACAAATGAAAAAATAATAGATACAATTTTCATTTTCAATATTATATAATTATGCATGTAACTGGAATACTATTCAGAAATTTAAAAGAAGCAAATAGGGCGATCTGGAGGGCATTTTGAAAAGCAAAATAAGCTAGACACAGAAAACAAATGCATGATTTCACTTGTGTGTGGAAACTTAGAAAGTGAAGATCATAGGCTAAGATAGCAGGGAGCCAGGGGAAAGAGAGGATGCTGTTCAAAGCATGCCACATCCTGTTACAATGAAAGTGTAGGTTTTTGAACTGGAATGTATAGCATGCTGATTACAGCTTATATGTGTTATATATTTCAAATTTGACAAGAGGAGATTTTGCTTCCATTGCAGAAATATTTTAACCATGTGAAATTACAGATACATTAAGTAGTTTAATGTAATCATTCCATAACATAAACAAATACTAAAATATCATGCTGTGCTCTATAAGTGCATATAATTGTTACTTTTCCATTAAAATAAAAAGTAGAAAAAATATCTGGTTCCCATCTGAAGTTTGACATAAGTTTGTTTTACAAATTGCAACATATAAGAGCTTCACAAGTTTTCCACAGTTCCAATGACTATACTCAAAACACATTACACTTTGACAAGAAGTAATGATCTGTAAAAAAATGCAACAAAAACAAACAAAACTCAAGATCCCATGAACTGGTAACAACAAAGGAAAAACCACAATCCAGAAGAAATGGTCCTTAATTCCTTTACCCAGGAATCTGTTCTATATAAAACTCAACCACTGAAGAAGTAATCTGGTTAAGCACATCTCCTGAATATGTGCTGGGACCACAATGTCACCTGCACTCAGGAATGGCCCTAATCTGCACGGTGAAACAGGGAGGGCTTAATCAGTAGAAAGTGGCAAAGAAGAGGACCACCTGCAGAGCCAGATTCTAGGCAATGCATTCTCCCTGTCTCTGTCTCTGTCTGTCTCTGTCTGTCTCTGTCTGCCTCTCTCTGTCTCTGTCTCTGTCTCTGTCTCTGTCTCTGTCTCTCTCTCTCTCTGTGTGTGTGTGTGTGTGTGTGTGTGTGTGTGTGTGTGTGTGTATCTGTTATCACACTGTGTGCTAAACAAAGAGTGGCTCTGAGCCTGCCACACACCAGTATATAAAGTCTGTTTTAATCAGAATAAATTAAACCCTCCCCCCATTTCTTTCTAGGGAACATTTTCATTCCTTGGGCAATCTACTTTTAGACACCTCATTTTCAACTCTTTCCTTTATTCTCTATTTTGTAAGAAGAAGTCAGAAAGTCCACACTTTCCTAGGTCAAAGTAAATATATTAAATTTCATTTTCCTGGGGTTAGAAAGGGGATTCTGTCTACTGAAGTTCTATATAAAACACAATGAAGCAGTCTCATGAGGGGAACAGGTCACTGATATCGATCATGTTTAATGCAGACTACCTGGAAACATTGATCTTTTAAACAATACAAACTGAACTGTAAAGCAAAAGAGCACCTTGGTTTCATTTCCTAGTTTTGAAATGGTGGCACACGCCTTTAATCCCAGCACTCGGGGAGGCAGAGGCAGGCAGATCTCTGTGAGTTCGAGACCAGCCTGGTCTACAAGAGCTAGTTCCAGGACAGCCTCCAAAGCCACAGGGAAACCCAGTCTCGAAAAACCAAAAAAAAAAGAATAAAAAAGAAAAGGATATTAAATGTTGGTCTAGTCTCTCAAAACACTGCAGTTTTGAATTTAAGTTTACTCAAACTCACTTGAGAGGCAGTGGAAGTGTATGCAACCCAGATACATTCTAGATACTACAGCATTCAATAGTATTGGGAGGAAACTCTCACTCATAGAGTTATATCTTACACCAATCCTAGTGTACAACATTGCTTTAGTTTAGTCCCATAAAGTGCATTCAAGTATTAATGTATAGTTAATGTTTGAGAAACTCTATGAATTTCTATACATGTGTAGTCAATGATTGGGAAATTCATGACCATTAAAATCTCTGATTGATATGAAAAGGTTTTGCTTATGTATTTAAACAATGTGGATTTTGAAGGGTCCTCTTCTTCATCATGTGTGTTTAGGTGGAGCCCAGCACATTCCTCCAATCCACCACATTATCAGGAACTTATGGTGGAAATATGAAAGCAAATCTTGGGAAGGTTTCTTGAAGCAGGACTATAGTTATGATAAGTGTGCATCCATATGAACAAAGACCAGAATGTATTACTCAAATATACAAAGTAATATTGGACATGTTGAATGGCAGGTGCCTTTTTCATTTTGTAAAATGCATTAGTGGTGAGACAGGGCAAATCCCGTGAAAATCATTTAAATCTCAGGTACTTACTGTTGTTGGAAAATAACGACTAGTTTTGAATTTTTTCATAGCCATTGAAGAGGTGTAAGTGCCCAGGAACAGGATGAAGGACATGAGTGTGATATCAGGAACAAAATCACAGTTGTTTCCCACAAGCTTGCCTCCGTATTTCAAACACTCCTTCTTCGACAAATAGGCCCAGTCAAAGGTAGCATTGTGGTACTGAGAATAATAAAACAGGGATTTATTAGTTTTTTAGAAAATACTGGCACATCTAAAGCAGCTTTCCATACTTGATGGGATCTAGAGGGACTGCACTAGAACCGCCTACAAAACAATCTAAAGATAACCACTGGAGAATGTAGTAACCTGATGAGGCCTTACTAGAGTGACAGGGATAAAGAGGCCAGCAATTATGAAAGCCACAGTGAGAGGGATGCAGTGTGGTGTGCAGTTTGCTCTCCCACCTTATAATCAGCCATTTGTTCAACAGCAACAAACCATAAAGTCCTTCTTTCCTGCCAGATTTCCTGTGAGTCAAATGAGATACATTAATATCCTAAACCTCAAAATGTGAGACTTCAGAAATACCACTATTGTTCACAAAGTGCTTATTTGTGTGCACTTGGGGCCATGCTCATCTACCTTATGGTACCAATGCTCTAAAAGTTGTAGGAAGGTAACTAACCCACAAGTAGGTTATTTCTCTTCTTAGTAAACACACCCTAGTGACTGAAGAAATGATGCTATCAAAGTGTGTACACTCTGCGACTTCTCAGTCGCAAACTTAATACAGCATTGAGGTTTTTCTTGTCAACTATAGGTCAGCACTTGAAACACCCAAGAGTGGAATGGCTGTGACACCTTTGCACTCTTCAACTGTGTGAGAGTCCTGTGTTCCCATGATCTCAAGCACATGGGTCAGTTTCATGTGTTCCTGTCCTGTCCTGTTGTCATTCCTGTGCTTCTTTCTGGCAACTTCCCCCATTTTCTGATCTAATACACAACACAAGTTAGTGTCATGGGTAGACCTGTGCACCTGCCTTAGCTCCTATGCAACCACAGCTGGCTGCTTCTCAGCAAACTGCCTTTCATCATCCAACAGCCACATCAACAGTTACTGCCTCAGCTACCTGCTTCTGCTCAAAGAGGGGGCAGCTGTGGAACAGACTGTCTTCCAGAATTCCCCATGGAAACAGGCTGATGCTAAACTCAGCTGAGACACACCTTTGTTCACAATTTTCCTGTCCTGAACTGTTTTTCTTACTGGATTTTTAGGCACCCTCTCAGCTAGTGACACAGAACTGAAATTCCTGCGTTAGAATCTACTTCTAAAGCAGCAGTCACTGGCTTTCTTTACTTACAGGGCAATTACAAGTTAATGGCCTCTAAGTCCCAGGAACTTTTCTAGAATCTAAAGTCTGAAGGAAACCCCTAAGTGATTTGAACAGTTTTCTCACCCTTAGTATTCAACAGTGCAGGGGTGAATGCTCCTCCTCTGCCTGATGGTTTTCTGTGATGAAGTTACTTGGTGGCTCATTCCCTTGTGTAAAATAACCTTTGTGCAGCTATTTCTTATACTTGAGCCTTATTCAATAATTAGCCTTTAAGCATGTTGGTCTTTCTGTACAGAGAATATTTGTTCATACTGTGCAGCAATAGCTGTTTCCTAGACCATCTCTGCTTAAATGAATGTCAATGTGGTTAGTGGAAGTGACTGGGTATCTCATCGAAGAAGATCTCTAACTGCCTCATAACTTACATCTTCTTGGGTTCCAGGCTAAGAGGACATTGTATGACAATGAGAGTTATTTGGAAATACTTGGCAAAGAAGTGTGGAATGGCAAATTTCTGTTATCCTTTAAAGGAAAGAGTTCTATGTTGCATCAAATAAATCAACATCTTTTGCCATTTTAAGAGTTCTCTTGATATCAGTGGTCCAGTCTGGCCAGAAAGGGAGGAGGTTTTCATAGAGCTCAAAAGACAAAATGCCTATCCAAGGTAATAGAATCAACTCAAGATCTTCACTTGAAATATTTTCCTGTTACCTCCAATTGTACACAGTTGAACTGCATAACTGCTTTTATCGAACTCTGCAAGGTGATTAATCATGTCTTTTGTGAGTGTGTGTGTGTGTGTGTGTGTGTGTGTGTGTTTTAGATTTCTGCATATGGATACCTTCAGGAGACTAAAGCAACATTTAGAGGTCATAATTGGTAACATATTTCTTTGCTTTAAAATCAGCAAAACTGTGCCCTAATTTCACATCAGTAATATAACATCAGCAGAGTCCTTCTCTATATATATAGTTGGAATTTCCCCAAGGATGTAAGATACACTGGAACAACCCTGAAAGGAATTTTTATCCATTTCCTCACAAAGATTCGGGTTCAGGAGAAAATGGCACGAATACAGATGCAAAGATAGGCAGTTTATCTTCCACCAGTTATTTCAAAATGGCAATGCCAATATTGAAAAAGTGCTAAATGAATCCATTATTGTTGTCTGAAAAAGTTAACCTCCAAACTCCATCTAAGGTCTCACATATAAAAACTTTAGGCAACTAGCATATATCTTAACATAGATAATTTTTCAAAATAAGAAGTTATGGATTTCATAAAACCTAAAGTATAACTGACAGTTCAACTTAATGACCATGGAAAACACATCTCTATGATTTGTGTTATTTCTGCTCTTTTATAGAAGTTGATGTTAAGTGAAGGTTAATTCCTTAAGACTACAGATAGAGTCTACACCATGAAGAAATATATACAGAGCCATGGCTATACCTGAGTCCAAGTCACCATTGTCTGCTGTGGGTTAATTCAGGAGGCTCAGCATCTCATGTCACTGTCTTTTATCTCTTTGTAGGTGTTTCTCACATCTATGGTTTTCATCTTTATGTCTTATGCAACATACTCTCTTGTCTTTAGGAATAGGACACATGGGAGTATAATCTCAAAAATCTCTGACAATTAGAATTCTCACATTATCTCTCTTTTCTTAAGATGCTTATAACTTTGCATAACAGTTATATTGCAGCCCACCCTCAGTAGTTAGAGATATGGAATCCTCGGAAAGATGTCTAATGGGGCTAGGAGAGATGTCAAGATAAGAGACATCAACTGCAATGAGATGACCTGGCGTAATGGCCCAACACAACTACAAGTATTCTGAGTGAAAATGTGCAGAGCATCCAGAGTACCCAATGAGGGAAGTGAGACACCACAAAAGGCTACGCATGGATTACAATGATAGGTGAAAGAAACACAATGGGCTGAAGAGTAAGTGGGAGTGAAAAAGCTGCAATAGCAATTACAGACTTTTTAAAACAAAATACAGCAGCAGAGGGTGTTCTAGAACACAAGAGCATTTGCAAGGTTCTTAAGATGAGTTTCTTAGGGATAGTAAACACAAAAGCTGTTCATGGGGGATTAGACAATAAAACCCACCCAAACTCAACTACTTGTGGAGATGAAAAGGAAAAGGGGGTAGTGAGAAAACAATAAAAAACAGAAAAGTGACCAAGCAGATACTTATTAAGGCCGAGGGCTGGGCAAAATCTGCAAATGATAAATTATACAGCCACAGGACCAAAAAGATGATACACATAGCAGTACAAAAGAAGAAAAGAGCAGAACTTAGTGTAGGCTATGGCAGGCACCAGAGAAGTCCTGTTAACTGAGTGAATAAAGTCCTTCATCAGGCCTGGAGTATATAGCATATCCAAAGGAGAACTGTGCCAGTTTGTCAGCCTTCTGTGCAGAAGATAAAGTTAAAGTTAAAGTTTAGTTTAAAATGACGAGATAAAATACAAGATGCTTAGTTAACATCCAACCTTAACAATGTGCAAGCATTTTTAGTGTAAGCATGTCCTATTCACTATTCAGAACATATACTAAAATTAATTAATATTTGCCTGATATTCAAGTGTAATTGAATATTCCATATTTTGTTTGTCAAATCTGGCAATGCTATTCATTTAATGATAGGCTATTTTGAATAACAACAGCCAGTAGAAAATTGAAAAAAATTCCCACAGGGAATTCGAGAATGCAGTGAACCCAAATACATGGATGGACTAATATAAGCTTTAAGGTAGTAAAAAAGATCAAAGAAAAAGCAACAATGTTTATAAATTTCCTTAGAGAAATAAAATGTTTGCTCTAAAATTACTTAATAATATAAGGTGGTTTAAAAAAAAAAAAAAGCTGTGTAAGTGCATGGTCAGGAGAGCAGATGAGGAGGCCAGCTATTACACTGAGTACAGAGAAGACAACATTTGCACTGAGCCCTGAGAACAGGACTGGTCTTGAAGCACTTTCCTCCTTCAAAGGTAGCAAGAAAAGCAGGACAGCAAAGCTAAGAAATAACAGGGAATGAAACCAACGGATGAGGAAAATGAGCGACAGATTTGGTGTTGTTTCTTTATGTACCAGCAGACACACGGGAAAAAATGAGACACCATGAGCCGAGATGTTCACTTGGAGACATACAGACCCCTGTGCTAAGAACAATGATGCTCACCTGAAGGAGCTACTTACAAGTGGTCAGATGGGGTAAACTACAGTATGTAAAGGAGTAGTGAGGGGAAACGTTTGTAAAAAGAGAAGCAAGCAGCTGAGAATTTCCAGAAAGAACAATCTCCCGAAGAGATGTCAAATCATTTTTCTGCATCTCATTTTCAAGAGAATTACCCTTCTTATATTAAGTGGCTTTGACAATTCTTAAAAATATGAGGATTTTCTTTTTTTAAAAAAAGTGCACATTATCCCCTTCCCCAAAAGTAGGAAACATGAGTGCTTATCTGAAGTTTTCTATAACAGATTTTAAAAGTAGGAACATGTGTAGCTTTAAACATATTCAAGGACAGGATGGTTTTTACAGCTAACTTTCTCAATGGGAAAAAACCACAAGGATGCCATGTATAAGAACATTAATATGACATTCTGATTCCCATGAAAATGAATGTTAACTCCCTGACTCACCCTGAAGGTACATCAGATCAAACCACTATTGCTGCTATGTCAAACTGTCCAGTAGACTAAGTGACTACAATAGTTCTTAGTCCTATAGGTAACAGACTCTCCAGTATAGACACTGTGAATTCCATTGGGTAGTATAACAGAGTAAGTAAATAATAAAGGTCTACACACTTCTCCTTCAACACACACAGACTGGTAAAATGTGCTCTTTTAGGTATGATTAACAGTGACTATATATATATATATAGTATAGTGTATTATTTATACATACATACATACATACATACATACATACATACATTATAGTTTAACAGAAGTTTCAAGAAGAAGTAGCTGATCTTCTCACTTAGGGCTTTTCCCAACATGGGCAGGCTATATTTGCATAATCTCCAATCTTATTTTTTCATGTACAACATATATTTGAGCTGCAGTTCTTTGTACTCTCATGAAATACTGAAATATAGGGGTTATTCTGCTTGTGACTAAGATTATATCTCTGAAAAGTTGAGATTTTGCTCCCAAACAGACATTCAAAGCAAGCTAGGTAGTTTGTAAAATCAGAGAGTTTAAAATCCACCAGAGATGAGAACATAAAGACATTAAAATAAACTTTGAAATGTTGCAAGTCCCTCATAGTAAAAGAGACCCACTGGGCCCCAAGTGCTGGATTCAGTGTCCTCTGAAAGGAACAAGGCATCTGCCCTCTGAAGACCAGGATGATCTTTCTTCTCTCAGAAAGCTGGGAAGTCAACAAAACTATCCCATAGGGCTTCCTGGGAAACAGGAAATGGTTTATGTCTTGATTGTGACATAGAGCATGCCACTGCAAACTCATCAAAGTGAACTCATCAGAGCCATGTATTAAAGGGATGCCTCTAAGGAACTTAAAATAAGGAGAGAGAAGAATCATGTGCAAGAAGCAAATACTAAGCAATTCATTCAGTCATCTCTCGGGGATACTGATGTTACATTTTGACATTGGAGCTAGAAGCTGGAAGCCATCATATCCTATCTCATTCAGATACAATGTGCCACCAGCTGCACATCCCCTCAGAGCCTTTTCTTTAGCGATTAGGTAGAGAATGTGTTTGCAAGGTAAGAGAAATAACCAGCAAAGTATCAATAGGAAAGGTACCAGAGATGAGGATAAAATAATTACAGCAATAACGGAAAATACCGGAAACACTGCCCTAGTCCTCACGGGGAGCTTTCTTTGGCAGTTCCCATCTGTCTTACTTGCCCTTTCCCCTGAAACATGCCCGCTGCACAGGACAGCATATCTTCAGGTTAATGAGAATGAAGGGGACAGACCTTCCCTCCTCTAACACCTAGGGCCTTAGGAGAGGAAGGCTCACTGGCTAGGGGCAGCATGTCACCTTTACTGCACCTCTCTCATAACTTACTTATGGACCAAAGGGAATGAAGGAAATTCAGTCCTGATGACCATATGGCCCAGGAGAAGTTCAGGGAAGAAGAGGCAGCATACCGCAGCACACAGAGAACTTGTGCCTCTCAGAAGTAATGGCTCATTCTCCCCTAACAGTCACAGTTACTGAGGGAACACGGGCCAGTGGGGGTCAGAATATCTGAGGACAGGAACACTGGCTGTGAGCAGCTGCTCTGCTCAGTGCTGGCTAAGCTGCAGAACTGGCCCCTGCGGTACCTGGGAGGCTAAGAAGCAATGTGAAAGCAAGTGTCTTTAAAATCTTTATTTCAAATGAACGTAGGTTTCTGTCAGCTTCTTTTTAAAACACAAAAAGAATTTTAATTAACATTCTTTAAAACCTAGAAGGAAGCATTTCCTCCTCTATTTTAGGCAAGTTCTTCTGGGTTGGCTGGCAAAAGAACTAAAATCTGAATTCTTCTACAGTGACTTTCAACATGTAGATATATTCCTACACATAAACAGACACACACATGCACAGACATGCACACATACATACACACAGACACAGAGATATACAGATACACACAGTCTCTCTCTCTCTCTCTCTCTCTCTCTCTCTCTCTCTCACACACACACACACACACACACACACACACAAACACACACACACACACACACTGCTCATGCACAGTATGAAACATAAAGAAGTAAAGACATGAGGTTTGCAAAGAGTCAGAGAAAATTCTAGAGGTAACTAGAAGTCAAGAAAGCCAGAGAATACAAAACAGAGAAACAGGGTCATGTGAGAACTGCCCAGCAAAGACATGAACAGCATCTCTGAAAAGGATGGCTATGGGCACTCGCTACATAATATCTGCAGAAGTGTTCTGGTCTCCTGAGAGATGGGCACTCTCTCAAAGCAAGGTATTATGTTTTCTGTCTTTGTAACTGGGAGATTGATATTCTTTGGTCAGCTTCCATATTTGGCATAGAAGGAACAATCAGAAGCCTGAGACAGCGCTTTCCCCCATTTTCTCCAATATAAAAGTTTTCTCTCAGCATGTGATCTTCCATGCAAAACAGCTCATTTTTAAAGCTTAGTTCAAGTGCCTTAAAGGTCCTTGGTTACAAGCCATGGGAAAGGACACCATGTGATGGAGACTTGGTCCTTCTAAGTAATGGGGAAAATGTCCTGCTACCGTCACCCTTAGTGAAGGAAGGGCAGCACCATTTGCTCAGCCAGACAAATGCCTAGTTAGACCAGAAACAGACAACATTAGTTCTTGTTTTCCAACATTCTCATAGAATTATAGAAAATGTTTCAAGACCACAATAAATGGGATCTAGCATTAGGTTCTTTAAAAAGGTTTAAAAGTAACGTTATATAGGTGAATGTTGGTTTCACATCTTTTAAAGAAGATGAAAAGCTAACTATGATGATGACAGGTTGGGCTTTTTTTTTTCTTCCCTCTATGGGCAATGGCAATCAAGACAGCTAAAGGGAGACCACATGGCACAATGCATAAATTATAAACTGTGTGGGTAGTTTGAAATAGTAGGTTACTTACCATGTCAGTAGAGGCAACTGTTGGCAGGTCCTCTGGGGCTAGTGTAGTATCATTAGATACTGAGAGATTAACTGTAAGAAAAGAACAATTTTTTGTCTATGAAAAATAAAATACAAACAAACTAAATGCATAATGACCTTATAAAAACACAGAACAGGGCATTGAAAGTTCTGAAGCAACATACAAACACCAGGCAAGGATATATATTGTAACTGTATTCTTCTCACTTTAAGATAAAACAAAGATTGCAGCAGACGTGTATGAAAGATACTTAAGAGATGATATTAAATTTGTTTCTGTTATTTTTAATCAACCACACACTAGTGTTTTACCTGTTTATTTTAGAGGAAAATTAAAAGTTAAAGAAATCTACTTGAGAAGAAAGGATGCTATCTAAAACTTGGGAGCAGTTACTAAAAGTTTAGAATCTTATGTTGGTATTTTTACTATCTATAATTCTATTTCTAGTGCATATTCAGTATACATTTGTCTAATGGAAGAAATGCCTGCCTGTTATTATGGTGATTACCAGCTTCACGTATAGTAAAAATCTCACACTTCAGAGATTCACTGGTTAAGCATTAGGAATTTGTAGTGTAGAAAACTGAACTGTGCATGATAAAGTCTATCTTTGCAAAATGTGTGAAAAAGCACTGAACAATAAAATATAATGAGATATATAATTAAATTTTAAGCTTATTTTCATATAATGAGGCATAATTTATAGATTTAAGATGCACCTTGCTGAAGAATTTATTTATTAAACCAACCTGAACTTTGGAAACATTTCATTAGTATTTTATTTTATGGGTCTGAAAATTAAAATGTAGTATTTTAATTAAAATATTTGATTTTTTATCAGATAGACTCTTTTTCTAAGTGCAAGGGAAGACTTGCACTTTAAACTGTTATACAGAGGACATAATTAATGGCAACATGAAACAATGTCTACTAAGCTTTTATCTGAGAACCATATCATTTAGTCAACATTTGATTTAAAAATTTCTCTTTCGTTTCTCCCCCACTCAATCAAACTCCAGACTTATTTTAGCTCTCTGTGTTTCAGATCTTGTCTACATAAACCTTGAAGGAGAAATGCATGACTGTGTTTGATGATTGATATATAAAATAGGAGATCCATGAGAAGGACACAAAGCACATAGCTATTCACTACTCTTCCCTAGGGTCTACCTAGCCTGAGTCTCAATCACTGGCACTCAAATTATTTATCCACGGTCAGTTAAGAAATCTGGTGAAGAGTGTTTCTCCAAGGGAAATGAATGAGAATAAATACAAACAAAGGAAATGGACAAGGCAAAGAAACTAAAAGAGAGGAAATACATGCCCTGGGTCCTAGTTTGGGTCAACATTATAATCTATTTTGGTCACTGAATGCTGGGCATCGTACAAATATTAGCCAGAAGGTCCTGCCTACTGCAGCCTCCCTAACATGTGCATGTGATATGCTTTCTTATTCTGTTTCATTACAAATCCAAGAGAGTCAAGTAGGCTAAAGAACACTTGACCGACAAGACAAGATTCCTTATTTAAAAAAAAGTAAAGTATTATTAACAAAACTAGGTTTTTAGTAGTTTTTTGTTCTTGAAAAAAGAGCATACAGTATATTTTCTTATAGTATTCAATTTGATCAAAACATGGAGTTAGTATTCAAAAACATTGGATGGGTCTAAAGATTTATCACAGTCGTGAGTGTCTAGCAAGCATGGGGCCCTGGGTTTCAACCTCAGCATTAGTTAAAGAACCAGGTGGGAGGGGTGGAACAGAGTCAGACAATCAGCCATCCAAGGTCATCCTGAGCTATGTAGCAAACATGAGGCCAGTCTGGGCTACAGTAGACTCTGTTTTGAAAATGGGCAATAAATAAATAAATAAATAAATAAATAAATAAATAAATAAATAAATCATCCTAGACCACATCACAGGTAAACTTTCCCATGTGATTTAAGTATTGGTCAAGACTCTGAAACAAACCATGACTCTGCTAAGTTTGCAATCAGAAAGCATCCCCCAAGTTCAGACCTTATTCAAATTTGGCTCTTTTCTTTTTCTATTAGCATTCTAACTTATCAGGATCTAGATAATGATGTTTATGGGCCAAGGATTCAAGGTGGGACAGCACTCACAAATGAACTCACAGTGTCTGGCAGGCAGGCTGCTCTTCCTCAGCTAGGTTTTCAATGCAACTTCACTGGCTTCCTAAATTTCTCTGCATTCCAAATATGGTTAAAGAGTTGGAGAAGGTATTCAAGACTCTAAGTCTGTGAAATAACTATATATCAAAATTAATCCCACTCAATTATATTTCTTTACATTTTCAGTGTTCATCTAAGATAAACTAGAAAAGTACACTGGCCTTAAAAATCCCAGAAGAGCAGTATCTAATAAAGAGGAAGAAGTATATAATACTTTCTCTGCATATATATATATATACATATATATATATATATATATATATATGCACTTCTATAAATATATATTGGCAGGGTTTGGAAGAGTCTATATATACATATATATATGCACTTCTATAAATATATATTGGCAGGGTTTGGAAGAGTCCATAAATGAGATTAAAAGTAAATTTCTTTAGGCTCACTGATGAGAAAATGATCGATTACAGCTGGGCTCTTGATCTACAAGGGCCATTGGGCACCATTTAGATCCAGACAGAGTATAAACACTTTGGCAACCAATTGCAGACTGATCCATTTATAAGGCATCTGCAATATCCTTAATTAGGATTCTGGAAAGGTCAAAAGAAAAGCCCAGACACACTGCACTCTGTCTTCACTTTCAGCTCGGCTTCAAGGCTCAGGGAAAAGTGCAACTCTCTGCTTTAACAATGTGGCTAATTTAGATTTAGTCAGTCATCACCAAGACAGTCTAGTCTATGCATCCCCACAGGTTTATTGTTTTCCATGAACTGGATTCTCACTTTCTTGGTCCTTCTTCTTACATATCAACGTTTAGCTGATCTTCTGAATGGTGGAATGCATGCTGTTGGAAATAGGTATTTTTAATGTGTCTCTGTCACCTTTCAATCTTAAGCCTGCCTTTCCTTCTTAGTGCTTATGGAAACGTCTAGAAAAAGAATCAGGGGATGGAGTAGCTTCACCTGCAAGAGGGGACATGTGTCAGTGTTGACACATGCACTACACAAGGTAACCCTTTATTCTCCACAGACCTGGTGCCAAGGCTCCTCGTGGCCCTTCTTTGTATACTAGCAGGAGTTACAGCAACAGGAATATATACAAGCTCACTTGAGGCCATGCAGTCAAATGTGAGCAACAACTGGTTACTGGAGAGGGGTCTGGTTATGGTGTGACACAACATTACAGGCAGGGAGGGGCATAGTAGTCCTGGCCTAAATTTCAGCTGTGCTACATTTTGAGCACAGGGCACTAAAACTCCTTCCATTAACCCTTGTCTTGAAGAAGCTACTTCACTATTCCAAGCCACAGATCCTTCATTTGTGGAGCTAGATTTGAATTTGATTACCCTGTAAAGTGACAAAGCAGATTAAATGATGCAACATAGGCAAAACGGTTAGCATGATGCCAGCTTCAGATCACAGCTAAGATTACTACTAACTTGACCTGGAGAAAGCAGAACTTGACCTGGGTGGGGGTATGTCAGTTCCTTCTCCGAGGTGTTTGTTGTGGTTGGTTGGTTGGTTGGTTGGTTGGTTGGTTTGGGTCTTTGGGTTGGCCTCGAACTCACAGAGATCCTCCTGCCTCTGCCTCTGAGTTCTGGGATTAAAGGCGTGCGCCATTACTGCCCGGCTCACAAAGGTTTTTGTGATGATCAAATCTACAAATATTGTCCTATTGAAACAGGTTTACTGAAATCCCCTGGTAAATGTCTTCCATTTGGATGGTGATGACTAAATATCAGTCTAATCTGAATCTCGTGGTTACAATAACACAGAGCTGAAAACAAGGAGACTTTTAAGGTTACTCTAGAATTATCAGGCTTCAATGCTTTACTCTACTCTAAGCATTCTCATTGCCTAAAGGAAATCAAGCAAGTGGGAAGCAGACGTAAGATAAAACTGGATCTCCTTGCTCCAGGAGCTTGTCATTGATCCCAGGGCCCTGGATAACTTGATGATACCACCTCTCTTGATAAAGTTGAGTCTGCACTTTAAATGTCTAGGTCAACAAAAGAACAAAAACAGCTTTGTAGGTAACAGCAAAGTGGATCAGGATAATTCTGTGAGAAAGGGGCTACGGGTTACCACTCTCTCAGCCCTAAGTCTAAAAACAAAGTTATATATCTTTTTAAAATTTTTTGTTATTATTGTTTTCATTTTCCTAAGTACTTTTTACCAAACCAATTGGGTGAGATTTCCTATGACTAGCAAGTTAGTTAGTGAGTCACAGATATTCTTCCCACAAGTTCACTTGAGATGCCAGGCTGTTGGTTAAAGAGCAGAGCTACAGTGGATGTACAAGTGGAATATGTTTAGTCACTGTTTCTACAAAAAATGTCTCCTCCATATCCTCCCATCATCATGTTCCCAATGTGCTGCAGACATTATTCAAGGGAAGTTGTCCAAATACATGTTTTATATAAAGGCAAAGCTAGAGACTATTTCCAGGCCTGGTGACAATGCAAATCCATTCCTTCCCCACTTCCTGTCTCTACAAGCCTCATAGGGAAGCTGCTGAAATACAGGTTAGGACAGTGAAGGCAGACTGAAGTGATGAGTGTTTCAGGCATGTGTGGCTTTCTCAAGAGCCACCATGACTGCGAATGACATCAACTGTGCTAACTGAAGGTCAGTTTCAAGGACAAGCATGAGGAAATTACACTTTTGAGTTTTGCTATTACTTTATGATTTAAACCAACTTCATAAAAAAGGAATGACCTACCATAAAAGGGAAATTGCATTTAATATGGCACTATTCATAAAAGATAAGTTAGGACCACGCTGCATTTCCTCATGTCCGATAACTAGGATTTCTAATTATGAAACTCATATTGACTACCCTGTTGGGCCATAGGACTCACATTGAGCCCAGTAGTTCTTTTCAATGGTGGTAACTTGTTA